CTCCCATGTCCTGCATTCGTCGCTCGCAGCTATCGGATAGCCTGCGCCCGCAACGACAAATAACAAGTAAGAGCAATCTCTCGAGTGCCACTTAAGGCTGTGATCGAGAGGGTCGAGCGTTCACGAAGGCCCAGAGCCGACGGACTACGGACGATCCCAAAGCTAATCGCTGCACCTCGGGCGTCTATAGCTTTCGCAACGTTTAGCCTTGAGCCAAAATGGCTACGGACCTCCTCCTCCTCCTCCTCCTCCTCGTCCTCCTCCTCCTCGACCTGGAATCGGCGATACGTCGTCGATAGATCGGCGGCAGGGCCCCGACAGGGAGCCCGCACCTCCCCGGGCAGGTTGGGGCCATCGGGCCCCTGTCGGCGATCAAGGGGCGACTCGGGGTCGATGCATCCCCCCCTATGCCTATCCCTCCCTATCGTTGCCCCTGAGCATAAGGGGGGCACAGGAGGGCCCAGAACCGAATCGACAAGTCGGATCGGCGATCGGAAAGGAACCGGATCGGCGGAAATCGGCAGCCGAGTCGGGAAAACTCGAATCGGCGGACATCGGCGGGCCAGCATGCTGCCAATGAGAGATCGGAGCCCAGATCGGAAGCCCCAGTCGAACCGACTCGGAATCGGAAGCCATCGAAATCTAATAATCGAACCAGAGGCATCGAAACGAGCCCTGGGGGGGGAGTGCGTCGAGTCAGCGAAGAAACCAGGGCTGGGCATCGCCCCAGCCGAGAGGCCCCCTTCGGTGATCTTCTGACCCGGGTCAATCCAAGCCCGGGTCAGTCAGGCCCTTCAGAATCCTGCAAGCTCCTGCACCCGGACCCTGGGCCACGCGCAGGATCCTGCAGGATCCTGCGCCCAAGCCCGGGTCAGTGCGACCCTGTCCCTGCAGGATCCTGCAAGATCCGGCGCTCTGGCTGACCCCCGTTTGTGAAGGGGCCCCAGGACACACAAATAAATACACACAAATAAAAGTATTCCCCATATTTCTCCAGATGTTCTGGGTTTTTGTCTTCCCCCCCGCTTCCCATATGTTCCGATATTTTCTGGGGGATCGACGATTCATTGTGTCTGTGGGTTTTTTTTTCCCTCCTGAGTTTGCACTGACCCCCGCCTCAAGGCACCCGACCCCTCGCCGGCGCCAGGGCTCTGGGGCTCCCCCCCCAAGAGGCGCCTTCACCCTGGACGGCCATCGGGGCGGCGCGCCGCACCTGCGCGCCTGCCAGGGGGGGGAGGAGAGGAGGGAGGGCGAGGGGGATCAAAGAGCGAGAAGAGAGAGAGAGAGAGGAGAGAGAGAGGGAGAACAACAACAAGTGTGAAATCGAGAGAGAGAGAGAGAGGGATCCATATATATGTATGTATGCACAAATTTCTACATACATCAGGAGAGAGAGAGAGAGAAACATAACAAATATGATATATATATAGAGAGAGAGAGAGAAAGAGAAAGAGAGAGAGAGAGAGAACGAGGGCAAAATGCGCAGGGCACAGCCAAGAGTCGGCATGAAGGGGGGGAGGCGGGTGATCCCCGATGTCGAGCGCGAAGCGACTATGATGCGGCTGTCGCGTTGCCCCCCCCCCCACCAAGCAAGCGGGAAAGAAACGCCGACGCACGCAAAACTGTGGATGCCGACTACGGCAGGTTCGTGTCGTGTCGACCCTGGCGTTGGTTCCTGACACCGCGGGGATCGTTCCACCTTGAACGATCGGGCGTTTCCAAAACGTCCAAATCGTTCCACATCGAACGATTCTGGGTCGCCCGCGGCGTTCAACGTTGAACGCCGCTGGCGGGGTCGCCGCCGGTCGACACGACGCTAGCCTACCGTACAGAATGACGAACACCCTCACGGAGTTGCCTCGACGGTCGACGGGCCACTCAGCTCTCGTGTCGAGAGCACTGAAACGCCGATGGCAGTTGAATCCTGCGAGCCCTCTGGGCGAAGATAGTCAATAGGATGCTCGCTTTTGAAATGAGCCCCAGGTTTCCCATCGGGGACACGTTCAGCCAATGAGCCTGGAGGTGGCATCACATGCATGGACCTATGATGGCGCATCATCTTTAAGTACGTTTGATTCTCCCGTCATGTGTGCGGAAACAGTGGGTAGTGGTGCCCAACAGCAAAGGTTGTCCAACACCGACAGCTGCCGCTGTTGGGCATACGACGTTCTGTTCCAAATGGGCAACGTCCGCGGCGTCACCGATATCGAGCCATGTTCAAAATGCACAGGGTATGGTGTCGGCATTCGTAACCATTATTTCCGTATCCATTCCGATGCTACCGATAGTTGCTAAGAAGGCTACCAGAAGTCCAGCACACTACCAAAGCCAGCTGGGCGAAGCGCAGGGCATCTGGGGGAATCTGAAACAGAGAACTATGTCCACTGCTGGAATGAAAGTGCCAGATATAATGACTCGCACGGACACTCTCACTCTCCTTGGTGGCCAACCTCTGGGCAACGTTTGGCCGAAGAACATACTTGAATCAGGCAAGAATTGGTATGGACATGGGGCGGTAACCATGGATGGGTGCACGCAACACTGCATCGCACGAACAGTCTGCCACCCAAACCGTGTCCGCACATGTGCGCAGAGTCTGAAACGGATCACGGATCGATGAGCTTCCTGCCCTCGAACACGGCCATGGAATACAGTTGGGGCGTTGACCTAAGGAACTCTACACAAGGAACGAAGACCCTTTTTTCATTAGTTGAACTTCGACTTCCCGACGAAAACCTACGGAAAAAAGAAGGCGAACTGTAAAACAACTAAGGAACACTGAGCCCCTCCCAGACGAAGAGGGTTCCTTCTTCAGCGCCCCAACTGTACACGATGGAACGCAACCCATGAGCACTTGCGCGAGACTCGCGCTGCCAAACCTGTCAGCAGCAGCTGGCACAGACGAAGCACAGCACGCCCCGTAGGCGCAAAACTCTTGGCGCTCCGCCCGCGCACGGCGGCAGAGCGGCCGCCCCCGCCCCCCCCCCCCCGGCGGGGGCGCCCACATCGAGCGGCGGCCCGGGGGGCGCTCAGGCCCGGCGGCCTGGGCGGGGACGCCGAGCCTGCCGCATGTGGGCCACGCGGCTCGAGGCAGAGCGGCACACGGCCGCAGCAGGGATCACGTGTTCTGATTCGGCGTTTCTTGGGCAGGGGCCGACCGCCCCGGCGTTCCGATAGTCCTGCCGCGAGATGTTCTTAGAACCCACAGCTGTTCTCAGAACAAGAGCCATGTTCATAGAACGTAGACCCGATGTGACAAGACAGGACAGGCTCCGCCAGAAATGTTATGATAATATCTCGCGGAAACCACAGAAGGCTCTTAGAACATTGTCTGGTAGGACTACAGGCGAGCAAGGACGCTTCGCCACTGCTTGAGCTTCGGCATTGGGCGGAAGGGGGGGGAGGAGGAGGAAGAGGAGGAGGAGGAGGAGGAGGATGAGGAGGAGGAGGAGGAGAAGGAGGAGGAGGAGGAGAAGGAGGAGGGGGAGGAGGAGGAAGGAGGGGGAGGAGGAGGAGGAGGAGGAGGAGGGCAGGAGGAGGGGGAGGGGAGGGAGGAGGAGGAGGAGGAGGAGGGAGGAGGAGGGAGGAGGGAGGAGGGAGGGGGGAGGAGGGAGGAGGGGGGGGGCCTGGCTCCCCACCTCTGCTTCGTGCGCTTGCCTGCAGCAGTGCGTACTCTGGGGGAGACTCCACCTGCTCGCAGCAGGCGCCCAAAACATCCAAGACCTACTCCATTGGGGGGGGGAGGAGGGGGGGGGGGGGGGCGAGGGCCCCGCCCGATCGGCAAAACAATGGATAAGGAAACGACGACCAAGAGAGAAACGCTCCCTGTGTCTGCGCCAGCCCGAGTGCGTAACTGGTCGGCTCAGGCAAAGCATACGCGACAGCGGTGGAGTGCCCCAGCAAAACGCACCAACAACATGATGAGACTGCTCTTATGAGGATCTGGCAAGCTCCATCTTGTCAGCAGGCTGAGGGCCCATGGGATGCCAAAGAGCAACGAAAACCATTTGAACGGACCTGGGGCAGCAAATGCGTGAGAGGTGTGTCGGCTGGTTTGCGACGAGGCCAGGTAAACCCCGAGGGAGCAATTCCGTGGAGCAAAGTAAACACCAACGAGGACGACACCAACGGGAAAGATGGTGACAACGAAAACGACAATGACGACATTGACGAGGGCGACGACGACGCCACTGACGTCGACGATCCCTTTCCATCTCGGAGGCCATCTGGAGCTATTCAAGGACCCCCTCCCCCGTCCAGACCCAGTGGAGGGGGCGGTGGGAAGAGTCAAGCTATCCCCTAGAACGACAGCTGTCTTGCTCACTCCCGCCTGTCCTCCCACTGCACAAATAGCACCCGAGTCCCATCGTGCGCAGAGGCCGCCATCGACAACCATGGAACCAAGGCAGACGCCAGCGCCAGGTGCGCGACGCCATCGAGGTGCGCCGCGCGTACGTGGGCTCCCCATTGTCCCCCTAACAAATGGAACATGCAGCATGATGCCGCAAAGTGCACAGTCTATAGTGTTTTGGCATGGATCTGGTGAGAGGGATAATCATTGGCCAGGTTAAGGGCCAACAGAGTGAGGAAGAAGTGCATCGGGGGTCTTCTGACCCGGGTCAATCCAGACTCGGGTCAGCAGGAAACCAAAAAACTGCGATGCAAGAGAAACAAATTACAACGCAGGTCTTCGCACACCCGGGTCAGCCAATGTGCGCGGCCGCCTCGCGGCCACGAGCGGCTCGCTTACCCAGGTCAGCCAGAGGGGGTCTTCGCAGGATCCTGCAGGATCCGGTGCCCTGGCTGACCCCCGTTTGCACTGACACCCGTATCTTAGGCCCCGAGTGCATAGTGACAGAGATGACCCAGTGGGGATACCCAAAACTTAGTGGTCGCCTCTGGTCGATAAGTCTGCAGGGAACAGGCTGTCGAGCTCCCAATAACGGCTGATACAGCCCTCTGCCAGTCGCTGCCTGTAGATATCACTTCCCCTCGTCCACTATTGTTAGGTCGGGCCTGTCCCCCTACAGGGGGATCTTGGACGAACAATAAAAATACTCAAAAAATGATCAAGGAATGCTAAAAAAATAGTCCCCTGACTATTTTTCATCATTTTTGAATACTCCCCCTGTAGAGGGACAGGCCCGACTTAACACTGTTCCTTCTAACCCTCCCGCCCACCCACCCTCGTGGCCCCTACCTCCTACCTCAGCTGCTCCCTTTGCTCCTCCCTGGGAGCTCCCGCCCCGAGACCATCGATGCTGTACAGCCCCCCTGGCACCAGTTCTTTCGATCCACCTTGGTACGAACAGGCTGAGAAGAAGACTTTGGGAACTAATGCTGCCCTTGTTTTACCTGTCCCCCTATTCCTGGCCTGCTCTTACACTTCACCACGAGCGCACACGCCCACACTTCGGCCTCTCGCAGAAGCGCAGGAGGAATCTGGGGCAGGGGCAGACAGAAGCAGGCTGGGGAGGGAATCAAGCGAGAGACGGATAGAGCAGGGGGGCCCGATGGCTGAGCAGGAGTGCGAAGACCGGAACAAGCGACATTTCATGCGTCTGGCGGCCCCCGCACCGACGGACTACGTGTCTGGAGCAGGTGGCAAGAAATGGTAGGCCATAACCCGTCCAACAAAAGCTGGTGAAACAAAACGCACATCGCGGCGCAGGAGGCGAGCAGGCAGTGCCTTGCGCAGCCTTGGCCTCCCGGGCCAGCAGCGCCCGCACCCCCTGGGCCCAGGGCCCGTTTTCCTCCAGGCAGCAAGTGTTCGGCCACGCGTGCGTCGAGACCGCTGGGAGATTCGTGTGGCCCTGGCGACTTCTGAGAAGTCTTGATTGTCTTCGGGGAAAATCTGGACAACGTCCCATAAGGCTGGGGGACTCTGGAGCCTCCTGAGAAAGCGAGAAAGCCCGCCCACTCTCACTTTCCCCGGGCACGCCGCCGACAAGAGAGGCCTCCCAGATGGGGTCTGAGTAGACGGGCTCGGAGGATCGCGCGCCGCATCGCCGATGACTCGGCGCTGCATTGCCGATTCATCGGCGACGTCAACGTTGCATCGGCACCATCGTCGCGAAGAAATTCTGGCTCCACATCGAGCCGCATCGGCGATGCCTGGAGACATAGTCCACACACAACCTGCTCGTGCTCTGACGCCTTCCTGGGGGGGCCGCCTGTCTCCCGTAATATGTAGGCGTGTGCGCGCCGGAGAGCTGTGACCGCCGGATGGAGCCCACAGCACCGACTCTGCGACAAGAGAGTGCGCGCGGAGGAACCTCCTGGGGGAGGCCGGTGGGGAAGAAAAACGGATAGGGCGAGGCAGAGGAAGGAGGAAGGGAGGGGAGGAAGGCAAGCTGGGTGCGCTCGCGTCATATCTGACGTCCTACCCCTCCCTTCCATCCATTACCATGGCGTATATCTCCTCTCTATTCACACATTCGGATGTCGTAGCATGGCATAGCATTACATGGCATAGCATGGTGTCGAAGACCAACGCGCAGCATGATGTAGCATGGCGTGGCGACGCCAGAAGATCAACGAATCGACACCGAATGTGTAATCACTTCCGATGTTTTCTTCGCGAGGCCATTTTCTAGATTTTGGAGCCTATTTGAAAGGACTGAAAACCATGCCGGGGCATGGCACTCGAAATAATGACGCCATCGCTGCAGCGGGAACACGATTCGGAACGAGCGGAAGCGCGGAAATAAGGCCAGCGCTGCAGTGGGAGCACGATTCGGAACGAGCGATGGTCCGAAAATGAGGCCAGCGCTTCAGCGAGAGCAGCGCTTTGGCAAAAAACAAGCGCGGACACGCAGAAATGAGGACGCGTAGTCTGACATAACATGGCGTGGCGACGCCCCAACGTGGGGGAGCCTTCCGTGGCCCACAAAATCAACGAATCGACACCGAATGTGTAATCACTTCCTATGGTGTATTCGTGGGTCCATTTTCTAGATTTTGGGGCCTATTGAGAAAGACCGAAAACCATGCTGCGGCATAGCGCCGGAAATGATGACGCCAATGCTGCAGCAAGAACACAATTCGGAACGAGCGGAAGCGCGGAAATGAGGCCAACGCTGCTGCGGGAGCACGATTCGGAACGAGCGGTAGCACGAAAATGAGGTCAGCGCTTCAGCGAAAGCAAAATTTTGAAAACAAACAACCCAAGCGAAAACCCAACTCCAGGGAATCCGGTGTAAAAAAACAATACGGGGATGGGGGCTGGACGCTCCCCGAACGCCACCAGGGGAGAGGGAGAGTTGAAAAAGAAGGCGGAAGACGAGGGGGGGCGGGCGATGGTGCACGCGAGGGTGATAGCATGACGCAGTGGGGCGCAGATAATATTGCGGTGAGACATCGAAATCCAACGTTCCTGCGAACAGCTCAGCCAGAAAGCAAAAGAGAAGACGCCCTGGGCGTCACTCGGAGGGGCCAACGTCGACGATGACGACCAGGCTGAGTGACTGGTCGTCGGATGCCGCGTTGAAGTTCCAGTCCGCCTCTCAGCATGGCAGGGTAAAGCGAAGAAACGCAAGCTACATCGCTGCCCCTGCAAAGCTAAACAGAATGGGGGCAAGGAGGTGCGGAGGCGGAGAGCAAGGAAATGATTCAGGCGCCAAAGCTGTTAGGGGCGAGCTTGAGCGTATCCAACCAATCTTTTGGGCGTGCTTTGGTGCATCGTCTTCTTCGTATTAATTGTCTTGTTCTTATGCTTCTCAATGTTTCACTTCTTATTATTCAGATGTCCCTTCTCGCTCTCGGGGACGGGAGGCGAGGGGTGAGAGCGTATAAGCTGGCGCAAGAGGGCCCCGAAGGGGCCTCGGATTGCCCAAGATGGCCTGAGGGATGGCTCAAGATGGCCAAGGATGGCTCAGATGATTTCCAACATGACTCCAAAAGGTCCCAACATTATCCCAAGACGGTTCCAAGTGATCACGGAGCCTCCACAGGAGACCCCCGGAAGCAAACATCATATGAACACATGGTGTGTTTGAATGACGTTGCATGTCCCGCCTATTCGCTTCTGATGGGCCTCTGCTT